TTTTTTTTTTTTTAATATTGTTAAAGACAGGATAAAACAGGAAAATAAACGCCATTATATCTGTTCGTATATTGGGAAGGTCATTTGATCTTACCGGCGCATATATTTACTTCACCGACGGTCGGTGTTGTTAATCCTCAACTGATAAAGTAGAATGTTGATTAGATAATTATTAGAAAAATCGATTAAATTAGAATTGGAAGGAAATATAAGGGATTTATTTTCTTTTTATTTAGTAAAATGATTTAAACATAAATATTTTGTAAATTATAAATAAAATTATCGTCTTGATTCTAATTTATCGTTTTTATCAGTCAAGGGTCAAAGAGTTAATTGGATATATGAATAATCTTTAATTTCGTCTGTTTTGCTTCGACGTTCCAATACAATTTTAAATAAAATCTTCTTTATCATTTTAAGCTGTTCTAAATATAGTGCATTTGAATGATCCAGCCTTGAACAGAATACATATTAAGTTTTGATGCCAAACGTAAAGAATGAACAATTGTTAAGTTTATGAGCTTCAGTATGAAAGATTTGGATATATGTGTATTTTTTACGATGCATTGCATTCATCCTGTATTTCTTCTTTTAAAGCAATATTTAGAGGGCTAGGAATGTCGATACTTTTCTTTAACAGCTTTGTAATAATTAACTTGCAATATCTGATTAATTCTATTTGATATATCACGTTAAATTACTGTAATAATATTAGTTTTTATTTACTAACTAACAGCGTACCATACTCTTTAGTACTAATATTGACATTGGCTCTATATCCTGCAATGCAGATAATATAATATTCAATAACATCTTCTTATATAAGAAATTTCATAAATTAACATGGCATTGCATTTTCAAACATATTTATGATATTTCATATTGATTTCAACCTTTTTACACTTGTGATGAACATCATCTCTGTATGTATATATATATATATATATATATATTATTATTTATAATATTTATAATATTATTATTATTTATAATAATATTTATAATATTATTATAAATATAATAAATAATATTTATAATATTATATTATTATTTATATTATATATATATATATTATTTACAATATGTAACATCAAATCTGCATTTTTCAAACATAAATTTCTTTATTGTAATCACGAACTGACATGAAAAAAAAAAAAGATTTTATAGATCATAATCTCATGTTATTACTATAGACTTGATGAAACTTATCTTACATAATTTTCGAAGCAAACGTTTTCTCAGACTATCAGTTTCAAACGATGTTTTTTTTTTATAGTTGAAGCTTTTCGCTGGGAGAGAAATCTGCCAAGAACACTGACACTTCAAGAAATAAGATACATATTTCTTGACATTTCGTTTCCCTTTTAGGGAGATGGAAAGCTTTTGGGTCATCAGCGCGATCACCGCGATCAAGGCGATTTCGTACGTGTACGATTTACTGACATTTCCGGTGTGGCTGGTGCTGCAACGGCCTTGGGAGAAGAGGAAGGCCTCGCGAAGGATCAAGGCCCGACCTATCGCCAAGGATGAGCACAGTATCACGTACAGGAGTGTGGACCCACCAGGAGAGATGCGGATCAACCTTGAACGTGAAAATATCGACACGCTCGAGAAGGTGATGAGCTGGATCACTAAAAGACACGGCGATAAAAAATGCGTCGGTACGAGAGAGATACTTGCCGAGGAAGACGAGGTTCAACCAAATGGCAGAATATTTAAAAAGGTAGACTGTCCCGTTCTGTAATTATGTATAGCAATGTGTAAAATTCACGATGCATTTTTTCTTCAATTCTTACTTTTAAGATAGCCTTGTCAAATAGATGTTAATTTTATGAATTAACTGAAATGTGAATTTTTTATTTTGTTACAGTATAAAATGGGAGAGTACAAATGGAAAAGCTACAGGGACGTGGATAGGCTAACGACTTCCTTCAGTCGAGGCTTAAGAGAATTTAATCTTACCGCGCGTAAAAACATCGTGATCTTCGCAGAGACTAGAGAGGAGTGGATGATAGCAGCTTATGGTTGCTTTAAACAAAATCTGACTGTAGTCACGATTTACGCGACTTTAGGCGAGGAAGCTATTGCTCACGGGATCAATGAAACGGAAGTCGATACCGTGATCACTAGCCATGACTTGTTGCCAAAGTTCAAACGACTTCTTAATGTGTTGCCTCAAGTTAAAACTATTGTTTACATGGAAGATCAATTGGTACCTACCGACACAACTGGTTATAAAGTGAGTGCCTTAATTCATATTCTATAGATATGTGACTTTAGACTTTAAAGATATACGATTATGAGCATTACATCTACTCATTACATTTATTGAGAAACTATATTTTATGAAAGAATGAAAAATAGATGTAACATTACATATGTAATTATGATATGATATAGAAATCTTTTTTTTTGATGCATTTTAGTCTGGTGTTAGGCTCCTACCATTCTCTGATATAATCAAGACGGGCAACACTTCTTCTGCATCACAATTCCCACCGAAAAGTTCTGACACCGCAATCATAATGTATACGTCTGGATCGACCGGAGTACCGAAAGGTGTACTTTTGTCACATTTAAATGTGGTTTCTGTGATGAAGGCGTTTGTTGATGTCGTTGAAATTAGACCAGATGATGTGTTCCTTGGATTCTTACCTTTGGCTCACGTATTTGAACTTCTTGCTGAGAGTGTGTGCCTTTTAAGCGGCGTGCCTATCGGCTACAGTTCGCCTCTTACTATGATCGATTCAAGTAGCAAAATTCAAAGAGGTTCCAAAGGCGATGCATCTGTTTTGCGACCAACTTGTGTAACTTCTGTGCCAGTAAGATTCAGAAATGTTAACTATACTCACATTGAAATAGAAGCTGTTGAATAATTTTGTTCTCCTTCGTCTTTTACAGCTTATTCTGGATCGTATTTCCAAAGGTATCAACGAGAAGGTAAAGAAATCGGGACCACTGAGTCGGACGCTTTTTAGATTTGCCTACGAGTACAAATTGAAATGGTATAAACGTGGTTACGATACGCCTTTCTGTAATAAATACATTTTTGGAGCTGCAAGACAAGTTCTTGGTGGGAGGGTTAGGCTTATTCTTTGTGGTGGTGCTCCTTTGACTCCCGACACCCAAACTCAGGTTAAAATTTGTCTCTGCGTCACTTTGACTCAAGGATATGGCCTCACCGAAACAACTTCGTGTGCTACGGTTATGGACAGTACGTGACGATACATTCTCCATTTTTTTCCTTCTCCTTACTGAATTACGTTTTGTTTAATGTGTTAAATTGTATGGCGTTTCATTTTCAGAGCACGACAGAAGTACGGGAAGAGTAGGTGGACCAACTACAATTTGTGATATCCGTTTAGAAAATTGGGAGGAAGCTGGTTACAGAGTTACGGATACCCCATATCCCAGGGGAGAAATTGTAATTGGTGGTGTAAATGTTTCGGCTGGTTATTATAAATTAGCAGACAAAACAAAAGAAGACTTTTTCCAAGAAGATGGAAAACAGTGGTTCAGAACCGGTGATATTGGAGAAATTCACGAAGACGGTTGTATAAAAATTATTGGTATGTTTTAATTTCAATGCTATATGTTGTTTTACAGAGAAAATATTTTGGTACATTTTTTATTAGATTAATATCTATCTTTACAGATCGAAAGAAAGATCTAGTTAAATTACAACTTGGTGAATATGTTTCTTTGGGCAAAGTCGAAGCAGAACTGAAAACCTGTCCCGTTGTAGAGAACATCTGTGTTTATGGGGATTCCCATAAGTCTTACACAGTGGCATTAGTAGTACCTAACCAATATTATTTAGAACAGATTGCCAATGACTTAGGTATCACCAACAAGAGTTTAGAGGAACTTTGTGATAATCCAGAGATAGAAAAAACGGTGTTGCAACAGTTGGTAGAGCAAGCCAAAAAATGTAAATATTTGACAAATATAATATTTTGTGAAATTTCCGGAATTTTTAAATAACGTTTACTAAGTAAGTAATTTTTATTTTTAATACAGGTAATCTCCAAAGGTTTGAAATACCTGGTGCTGTGAAATTGTGTGCAGAACAATGGTCACCCGACATGGGATTGGTAACAGCAGCATTCAAGCTGAAGAGGAAAGCAGTGCAAGAACGGTATCAACACGAAATCAATAGGATGTATGCTTCGTGATGAGAAGACGTTCCCAAGAAGTGTAATAGGTGAAGTGATATCGATATTCAAGCTTTCTAATTTAGCAAAACTTCGATATCTTTCGCGAGAATTTTGCGAAATGTGATCGAATGTTAATTAAGAACTTCAGATTTGAAAACATGTATTTTCTCTGTTCTCTTTGCTGGAAAAGATGTCGACTTTTTAATATCAAAAAGTCTACTTACAACATAGTTAAACGTATATAAAAAAAAAAAAATTAATATATGAAGAACTTTTATCTGCTGGTGAATATTTTATTAGTCAATTTTTAGAGTTTCGTTCGAGGCGAGAAATGAGTTTGATCTTCAATGGTGTGTATATAAAGAGCGTCTTGTAACATAATCATTGTCTTACGTGATGCAAGGTATGAGTGATGCAAGGTGCAGGTGTTTATTCCATGAAGGAAATAAAAGAAATCGTCATTTTTCGTTCTACATTTAGTTTTATCTTAATAATGTGCTCATTCCTTGTAACACAATTCTCGGACCTCGCAAAAAATCAATCGCCAATTAATTAATACTTCAATATTATAAGTTCATAACTCGAACGGTGTACTTATTTTAAGTATTATTTGAAATCGTCGAGTTTTATTCATCGCTCCGTTAATAATTATTTTGTTTTATGTATTAAAGTATGATTGTACATATAGAGAAATTAAGTGATGAGTTATTCTTGACGTTGAAGCGTGTATGTTAGATTTACTTCAGTATGTTTGTGTTTGATTTGACTCCTAAACTTTAGTTAGGATTCTCAAAATGGAAATGTTCTTCGTCAAATATTGTAAAATACTCGCAGATAATGTTCTTGTCCACTATTTTAAATTATTATTATGTCAAAGCATCACAAAAAGATTTTCTCTTCTTTTTCTCTTATGCACCTTTATGTGTATGCATGTGTTGGTACGTGTACGCGTGTTTATTATTATGTATGCTTGTATGCACATATGAGCGAGAAAATTAGAATCTAATGTATGTGAGTTTATTAAAAAAAAAAAAAAAGAAAGAAAAAAAAATGAAGAAAATGGTGTTCACAAAGGGAAAATTATTCTACTAATTTTTTGTAGTCTTCCCATTTATTCTAATGTGTCAATATTTTGAAAAGCATAGTTGAAGGTCTTGGATTCTTTTGTTATTTCAGTTTCGTAGACATTGGGTCTATCATTCAGGCGTTTAATTCCAAGTCATGTTAGTTTGCACGAATTTCATTCACGACTCAGTAGTCTTCCTATTAATATCCGGCGTTATACATATTAGCCTGCAATAGCATTATCTTCTCTAATACTTCTTACCGAATATGGTTGATATGCGTATATCTTAATAAGTGAACGCTTATGTTCCACACAAATTTTTATGTTTTTGTCACTGAAATTTTCATACAAGAATAACGCATTGAACGGAGATTTTGTATTATATTATATGACATCGACGTGTTGATTGCGCATTCAAGTATTAAATATGAAATTATTTAATACTTTACTTATATTTTACGGCTTGTTGATTCACAATTGTATAAGAAGAGAAAGAGGAAGAAAGATATTACTGATAAGTGATTCGACAGCTCACTCTTCCAGTTGCATTGAGAGTTCCTGCAGTATAGTTGAACACATGCGTTACAAATTGTTGCCTTGCTAATTTCCATAAATTATTGAAAGCTGTACAATATTAGATAGGAGATTACCAATTGTTTGGATATAATCATATCATCAATATCTATTATCATCACCATCATCATCATCATTATCATCATTATTAATTATAATTATGGATGCAGAAATAAATGTACAGATCTGTAGTATACTTACATAGTATTATTGTGATTCTTTTGTTTTTCTTTCTAATTCGTGATCAACGCAAGCGATATGTATATTTATATATTTCACAGTTTTCATTTTTTTTTTTTTTTTATATATTTAATAACGTCGACAATAATCTAATCTTATCGTACAAATGTTGAAAAAATTAATAGAATAAAACTATGAGGAGAATTCTCATTGTATACTGTCCCTTTTAGGTCCATTCATTTTCTGTGCTCTATTTATTTAAAAACTATTAAAAGAAGATTTGTTTTTTAATCTTTTTTTTTTTATTAATTAAAATTGAAAGATTAATTCTGAATGTTTAGCAATGACAGTATGAAGTATGTAAAATATGTTCAAACGAATGGCGCCATTTTTCGAATCTACCACCAGATGGCACATTCATAACATCTTGTGTGTTTCCTGTCACCATCGATTTCTTATTCGTGGATCGTGCGTTTCAATTCAAAAAATTCGGGAGTGTTTTGCCGGCCTTTTTACATTTCGCGAAAAAATGTTCTTCTGTGCAGAGGAGGAAAGAAAATGATCACATCGTACAGCTCTTTGGTAAGTTTAACAAATCTTTAGAAAGTGAGGGGAGGAGGGAAAAAAACATTCGTTCCGAGACATTTCTTTAATCGTTTATTTGTTACAAATGCAGAAGAAATAATATTATCGTAATACATAGAGCAATCTATCAAGTTGGTCATTGCAATAGACATTTTAATATATCGAACCGTACCTCTCGATATCGATAAATCTTCTTCTCTGTTTCCTCACGGTAGAACGGCATCCACTTTCAATAGAAGTACAAGTTATTTACTAAACAGCCGTTGCCAGGTCGTGTAACATTCATAAAATCTCTAAAATCTCTGTCGTTCGCGACTAGATGTCGCGCGCCATCGTAAAAAACGTCTAAATTTCACGGTGCACGAGTGCACGCGCGAGGAACATCAAAAACACCGCCATATTGTGTGCATGTACAAGCCTCTGCTCGATAAGTTCTTTTGTTTCTCAACTTTCGACACGGTCGACATATTTTACTTGTCAAATGTCAAGATATTGACTTGCGCATCGGAGGAAACGTTTTATCGATAATTTTTCTTAAAAAAATAGGCCGCTCTCTAAACGAAACAACAACAACAACAAATATATTACGAGGGAAGGAATGGAATGATCGAAAGGATGCAAGAGGCTTGCACATATTCACTCGTGTCTTCGCAGCCATTACATACACCAATAGATTTTATATCCACGTTTCAACAATGTATAATAATTCTCTAGTAATAATAAGTTATTCTACGGATACGGTTGTTGTTTTCTACAGGCCGTACACAATGAAATCGAGACCCTGGTATAATAATTTAATAACAGTACTCTGAAAGTATATATTCTAGAGTTTCGTTTGGTCAGTAATCCTTATGTTGTACGTGTTAATTGTTACATTGAGATCCCTTTGTACACTTAACGCTCGCGACGATAGTAATCGATGAGAAATTCATCATTCTTCGAGAATGTTGAATCAGGATTAATTCCTTTCTATCATCGTGTCCGGTGAGATAACGCGTTTAGAACTCAACGAGTTTCAAGGAGTTCCCTCGCGCAGGCAGAGATAGCTGCTCTAAGCATATTATTTCCAAAGTATCGGACAATGCAAAGGAACCGATTGCCACATTTCAATTATAATAAATGTCTCACTGAAGTTTTTTACTCTTCTCACGTTTTTTTATTATTCTCTCACTGGGTTCTCGTGGATTTATGTTTATCACAAACACTGTGCCATTTATTATATTATAGGTATGTAAACTTCGAATAATGTAATCATTATTATTATTATTATTATTGTCTATAAAAAATTAATAAAATATACTTTCGTTCGAGTTAACCTAATAA